CCCTTTTGTTGCTATTTCAGGGAATCCAGGTTGTTGAGTATCAAGAGTGTTCCATCTCGTTTCTCTTTGGGGTTGCTGTAGGTGATCTGGAAATCTGGTTTTGAGACTTGTTTACGTGTCTTCTCATTTTGGACGGGGTGGGGGGGAGGCGGGTGCTGTTGGTGCCCACATGGCTCACCTCCTGTGTGCTGGCAGGGGTGGATCAGCGGCCCAGAAGCCTCCTCTTTGCATTGGGAGTGGCTCACCTCCTGTGTGTTCTGGTTTTGTCTTTAATGGCTCAATCTGATCAGCAGGCTGCTTTTCTTGTGACACAGGTAGAGAACTTAATGTATTTTCCTCCAACATGTGGTCAGTGGATGAGGGCCGCAGTAGTGTGGAAACATGAAGAAACATTACTGACCTCTTTGTGATGCCAGGCACTATCATAATAAGATGTGTCATGTACCTTACCTCCTTTAATTCTTAGGATAAACTTATAAATCAGTTACTATTATCTGAACTTTATAGATGAGGCAACATAAAGGTTAAAGAATTTGCCTGAGGTAGCCAGTGATGAAAATCAGAATCCAAACCATGGTCTCTGGACTCCAAGCTAATACTCTATCTGCTAAGCCAGATGATAACTGGCATATTTAGAATAACTGGCACATTGGTAGTAACATCATTTGTTTTGTTTTCTGATTTTGTGAACTTTAGTCCCAGCTTGCCCACTGTGTGACCATGGGCAATTTAATGCCTCTAAGATTTTGTTCCTCATCCATAAAGAAGGGACAATAAAAGTAAAATCTATCTTCATGAATTGTTGGGGGACTAAATGAAGAAGTGAATGTGAAGCCTTTGTGCCTCATAAGGGCCTAAAACATACCAGCTGTTACTATTCTATTTTTATTTACTTGGGAAATGACAAGTGTTATTGTAAAGAATACTGTAATACCTCTGTCAATTATACAGTGTCCTTCACCTTGTTAAAAACTCCATCAACAGAGGTGAGGATAAGAAGAGGAGGTAAGGGTATTTTATCTTGGATGACAGAAGTAAGGTCTAGAACATTTACTACTGACTGGAGGGCTTTTTTTTTTTTGGAGGTGTTGATGGCAGTCAATCCCAGGGCCTTGTACATGCCATGCAAGTGCTCTACAACTGAGTTATATCCCCAAAGATGTCTTTCTTCCTCTCCTCTTTCTCTCCTTCCCTCTCCACAGTGCTGGGGATTAATGCAAGGCCTCACACATCTAGGCAAGTGCTCTACCACTTAGCTACATCCTCAGCCTAGGGTATTTAAGTATTGGTAGAAACACAAAATATATGCCTAAATATCTTGAGCAGCAGGAGGATTGGAGCTGCTTGAGCACAAGGAAAGGCAAGAATGAGAAAACAAGAGCCCACTCCAGCCAGTGAAGGGCAGGATGGGAGGATCCCTACTCCAGATGTTGTGAAGCAATTTAGGGACAAGGATAGGCAACTCTTGTCTCCACTTCTCCCAAGCAGTGTCCTTTGTAGTGATTTCTGGGCCAATACTTAGGAAACCATGTATGTGGTATGGTATGTATAGTATGTTTGTGCATGGTGTCTAGAGCCATTCTACATAATTTTTTTTGAAAAATCATTTCATAATTAAAGTATGACTATAGCTGTCTAAGGCCTAATGTCACCTTGTCTGTGAGCTGGCTATGGCATGGGGAAACATAACTTTGTTTTTCATCAATCACAAGTTGAGGCCTCATTGGTCCTGTGATACTGTGACACTTAAGGGCAAGAGTACATCAGCAGAAGACACCCTTTCAAAGACATTCTTTGAGAACCAGGTAATAAAAAATGGGAAAGGTTTCACCTGGGGGAAGGACAACTTCTTTATTAACCTGCTATCTCATCCCACCTACTACTGTAAGAAGCTCTTCTTACTCCCCTCATCAACATAAGATCCTCAAGACCTAAGATCCTCATCAACATAGGCTCACCGCCTTATCCCCTAAGTCACTGGATATGTCCTCCAATTATTGAGTGTACCCAATAAATAATGGCTAGCTCGGGAGTGTCTTTGTTTTTGCCCACTCGCAGGTGCTGACCTCCCAGCCCCCCCTCCGCGTATACTTTGAAATTATGCAAGTCTCTATTGTCTTTCTTTCTTTACCCTCCACTGTCCCCCTTTCTAGGCAGAGGATTGATCACCCTCTGATACATGGTGTGTGTGAATGTGTGCACATGTATGGATGGGGTACATGTGAATAGTATCTGTGGATGAATGCATTTGTATGTACATGTATGTATATGGTGGTGGTGTATATGTATATGTTAGTGGGTGTGTGCATGTGTATGTGCGAGAGTATTTCAGGGACAGAGATTATGACTGCATGGTTTTAGTCCATCAACTCTCTCCCTTTTCATTTATTTATTTCATACAACAAACATTTATTAAATATTTTCTACTTATCAAGAACTTTGATAAGGTTTCTAATTAAAAACTTGAATAAGACAGAATTGTTCCACTGAATGAATCCACTGGTGAATAAACTAATAAATGTGACTTGAAAAGTCTGGTAGAGGCTCTTTAGATTACTAGTTCTCAGCCTGTCAAGGACTACATGAAACTTGGTTAGCAGGGGATCATGGATTTTTGCCCCCAGGTCAGACATAGATAAAAGCCTTAAAAGACAAATGCTCTTGAAGTACTGGATTGAAATTTGTTCATGTTACTATGTAATCAATCAGTGTGACTGGAAATGACTTACATAAACCTATCCTGAATTAAAGATAGGACAAGGAGGCGGATGTGGATGGAGAGCAGTAGCCGCTGAGGAGGCCATGCAGGTAGAGAAAGGAGCCCAAGTCAAAGACAAACCTCCCAGGAGTGTCTGCACTCACTCTATTTACCCTCACAAAGGGCAGCTGTTGGGGGACCTGCCTGCAATGTCCTTTGGCATCCTTGGTGCTGATTTTCTTTAAATTAGAAAAAAGAGCAATTAATTAAAAGTGGCTTCTTAAGAATTTGTTAACCAATCCATCACTATTAATTCAGTTCCTTGGGAGGCCCTCAGCCTTGATTCTCATATGAGAAAGCTCACAGAAAGGCTTTGGTCCCCTCAGGAAATGTAACACCTGTGGGATTCACACAGATTAGTGAAATCACAAGCTTGGTATTTATTCTGTGGAAGAGTATCACTGCATCTAATGAAAGCTAGAGAAGTGGATGAGCCCACTGCATAATTAGCACTGACACTAACAGTAGATAGTCCTCTCCCTGCCTCTCCAAATCCTAACAGGTCTGCAGGCCCCATCCTAACTTCAGACCTGGAGGAGTGTGGCAGAGTGAAAGGACAGTGGCCCTTGGAAGTTCCTGGGTGTCAGCCGCAGGAGCTCCAACTCTCTGGCAGTGTGAGCACAGCTATACACTGGTCTTCTCTGTCTCAGTGTTCCCTTCCTCAAAGTGGGGATGATAATACCTACCTCACAGAGTTAGTCATTCAAAGAAGCATGTGAGATCTTATACACAGCTACATGGTGTCAGGCAAGTTAAACACTTATGCCTTGGTTTACCCATCTGTGGAGTATGAATAATGATAATACCTACCTAATAGAGTTAGGAAATTCCATAACTTTATTAGAGAACTCTAGTAGAGAATTAAACTTTGTTAATACTCATAAAGTGCTTGGAACAGTTCCTGGCACACAGTAAGAATTCTATAAATTATTATTATTATATAAGGGCACTTAATGGGTACTCACTAAACAGTAGTTATTTTATTATCCTTTCTGTTATGGTTTAGATTGAGAATGTCCCCAAAAGGGCTCATGTGCACATAGGTGGGGCTTTTGGAAGGTGACTGAATTAGGGAAGGTGGTATAGGGGACTTGCTTTTAGGAGGCAGGGCCTTGTCAGATAGGCAGGTCACTAGCGTTGTGACCCAGAAGGGTACATTTCCCTTCCTGGTTCCTCCCTTCTCTCTGCTTCCTGGTGGCCATGATGTGAGCAGCTTTTCCTCTACTAGGCCTCTCTGCTATGCTGCTCTGCCTTCGAGCTGGCTGGCCATGGACTGTAACCTTGGGCCAAAATAAACCTCTATTCTTTTAAGTTGTGGACATCAAATATTGTATCTCAGCAATGAGAAAGTGACAAAGATACTTTCTTACTCCCAGGAATGACACTTTGTTAGACTGCTTTCATCATGGAGCTCCAGTTAGATCAGCTTTGGTTGTTATTTTAAACTTTGGTAAGAAAAACTCTTAAAAGTAGCAGAACAATGAAGTTTATTTCACAGTCGAAGAGGCTTTGAGGTTGGAGGTGAGGTTCTGCTTGACAATGTCATGATGTACTGAGGTTTTGGCATCTTTAACACATAACTTTCAGAGTTTCCCTGCAGGTTCTATGCATACCAGCTGAAACTGGAAAAGAGCAAGGAAGAACATGCATAAGAGGTTTTTGTGGAGTATATTTTTTTCTCTATGTTTTGCTGGTGGGTTCTCATTTATAGGGCTGAGCTTAGTGGCGAGGGAGAGAAAATAATCTACCTGTGCCCAGGTAGGTAAGAGGCCTATGAAATTGGAGAAAAGCCAGCTGCCTCTGCCTTAACACATCAAGCCCCAACAATTAGTTCTCCTACCTCTGTGATCAGCCACAAACCATTTCATCTGGCTCTGCAACAGCTGCTGCTCTTAGGCTTGGTGGTGCAGCTCAATAGCAAACCTTTAATAGAATATTACTGATTGATCACCCTCCATAATAGACTTTTCATAATTTCTTTTAGATTCAGCTAATATTTGTGGGCCTCCTATGTGTTGGGCACTTTCACAATCTCATTTAATCTTCACAACAAGGTGAGCCTTATTAAACCCATTTTATAGGAAGAAGGACAAAGAACTCAGAGAGGTTAGGTAATTGGAGTTGTAACTTACCCCTTACTCTTCTCTTTCTTCCAATCTTAAAGCAGTCCTTGCCCTATCAGTCAGTACTCAGTTCTCCATGGTTTCGGAAGAATGTATCTTGCTACTTAGCTACCATAGACTTAAGCAGAGCCACTCTGTACAGTTGTTTTTGGATCTCTGGAAAGTTCTTACACAGTGTGAGGAGAATTAGTTTAACCTGAGCTCAACAAAACTTACAGGTTTACTAATTGTTCTTCAGGACTCAGATGTTAGTCTTTGGTCAGGCCAAACCAAAAGTTGTTTAGACGCTAGTTATCACATTCTTTCTTTTTCTTCCTTTTGGTGCCTGTTGAAAGAAAGCCCGTCTTTCCAGAAAATGACCCCTTACCCCTCAGTCCTCCCTTTACATGGCACATTAGTTTTACTCTTGAAAGATGAACTTTAAGCAGAAATTCCCGGCTGTGACTTTTCTTTGGCTTCCCGTGTTTGACAGGAGGTACATAGACTGAAAATGCCAGCTCCCGGACATGAAGGTGCTCCGCAGGATTCCCTGTGGGATCCTCTTTTCTGCTGAAAGACTGCATGTTCTCTGATCCAGAGGATCAAAAAGGAAAAACAATTTGGCCTCAGATGATATTTACCCCAAGTGGCTGGCCGAGAACAAAGAAGAGGCAGTGGTGAGCGTTTTTGTTTTGTTATTCTTTCCCCCTCTGCAGGGACTTTTTATTATGATTATTTAAAGATATTTATAACAAGATAAACAGTTACAAATGTTGGGGAGATTGTATTGCACAGGGGCCTCTCTCTTCACAGCTGCGAGTGTTGCCTCCTGCATGTTATTAATTTAGAGGTAATCAGGTTTGCATTTGCAGCTGTGCAGCATATGTTTTTCTAAAACAGTCATGGCCATGAGCACCAGAACAATTAAGACTGGAAAAAAATGCCAGGAAGCATTTTTAAAAACTCCTCTGATAAACTAAGGATGTCTTTTAAAATTTTTGGTTTTGTGTAGTTTTATCATTAAAAAACACAAAGCAAACATGTTTTGAATAACACGAGCTGGTTGCTTTTCATAAATGTTATAAAATTTAAGTATACCATGTTTTTTTTTTTTTAATGATTTTAATTTTGTTAGTGGAGAGAGGCTAAGGCCTGAAATGCCTTCTGGCAAGAGACAGTAATAGGAGGTCAGACACAGCAAAACACATGGAATGCTGTAGCTGGAGTGTTACATCAGGGGAAAAGCTGCAATTGCTAGTTGAGAGTTACTATTTTTTTTTTTTTAACTTTCAATTGCATTCTAAATCCTTGTTGGGTTACTCTGATAAAAAAGTGTATTACCATACACAAATTGATTTCTGACACAAATGTAAACTGTCTTTACCTTTTGGATCATTTTGTGAAATTTAACAGATTACAGTTTTCTTTGAAGTAAAATTTGAAGGGAGTTATAGTATATAGATAAATAAACTCAGAATAAGGCTTGCATCAGAGAAGTCCTGAACCACGCGATGTCCTTTCAGGGTCTAACACTGCTGTTACTTTCTCCATTTAATGCAACCTATTCATTCTCTTACATTAAGTAAGAATATCAATAAAAATAAAATATACTGGAATACTTACCTAGCTAAAGTAGCTCCTGAATGAATTTGTGATTATGCAGCAAATATGCACTTTCATTTTGTTTCGTGTTTTTTTCTTAGTTTTAAAGTTAGCTTTCTGAGTGTGCTTAAGTTAGCTTAAGGAGCATGCTGACATACTAAAAAAAATGGTGTATCTCAGGGATCGGCAGACAACAGACTCAGGTTGAATCCTGCTGCCATTGTACTTGTTCATTCATTTACTTGTCTATGACTTTGCAGAGCCAAACAGTCATGAAACAGGTGTAGCTTCACCTGTGGGACCTGTGCCATTCCACAAGGCCCTCATTTTAGAAAATGTGCTCAGCTTAATGCTCTGCTGTAGCCATCTTAAAATTATTGATATATTTTTTTCCCTGAGGATATGGCTCAGTTGGAGTTGCTTGCCTAGTGTTTGGGTCACTGAGTTTAATCCCCAGTATGTGAAAAAATATTTTTATCTTGAACAAGGGACCCTATGTTTTTATTTTGCAGTGGGCCTTACAAATGATACAATCAATTCTGGTGGGAGGAATTTCAAAGCCCCCTTTTGTAGGCCTGCAAAGCCTGAAATATTTACTGGATCTTTACAGAGGTTTGCTGACCTAGCTGATCTTTTTGTAATATAGTCAGTCCTCCATATCCACAAGTCCCCTATCCATGATTCAACCAACCTCAAATTGAAAATATTTGAAAAAGTAATTGTACTGAACATGTACAGACTTTTTTCTTGTCACTATTCCCTAAACAATACCACATAACAGTTATTAACATGACATTTACATTGTATTAGGAATTATAAGTAATCTAGAGATGACTTAAAGTATATGGAAGGATGTGTGTAGGTATACCCAAATGTTACACCATTTTATACGATATAAGGGACATAAGCACCATGGAATCTGGTATCTGTGGTGAGCCTTGGTACCAATCTCCTATGGATACAGAGGGACCATAGTATTTAAATTAGTTAATTTGTTAAGAATTACCTGAGGGTGCCTGGGGATTTAGTTCAGTGGTTCCGGTGCCTGCCTCGAAAGCACAAGGTCCCAAGTTCGATTCCCGGTACCAAAAATAAAAATAAAAATCACCTAGGGAGAATGTTAAAAATGCAAATATTCGACACTGTACTCAGAGATTCTGGTTCATGTGTGACATTTTAAAAACAAGGCCCTGGCAATGTTGTGATGTGGCCTGTCCTGACTGCACACCTGGAGAGGAGCTGGTGGGCTCTTCTTACCTTTCGTCTCCTTAGAGTCTTACCATTTCCTCCACACTAGCTCTTCCCTTTCCATCCATTTTTTATATTACAGTCAGATTAATCACCTCAAACACTGCTTTTGACATCTTACTGCTTTCCTCGCTCAAGACCTTCTAGTAATTGTCTGATCTCTGCAAGGCAGAGCCCTAACTCATCTCTTTGGCCTCCCAGGCCTCCCAAACTAGCTTCCACAAAATCACAGATGTGTTCTTGTCCCATTCCTATGCAGAGGCAGTGAATGACAGAGTCCAAGGAAAACTTGGTTTCACATCCGGGTTTTGCTACTCACTAACTCCGTAGTCTTCAGTGAAACTCAGAATCTTTATCTTGAAAATTGAGCCCATAACTGAATATTATGCTTTGAGAAAGACAAACCTTGTTTCTCTAGTATGTTTGCTCAAATTGCATAAGTTCACTTTAACCATAAGAAAGCATCAGACAAACGAAATCAAGGGACCAGTAATCTTCCAAAGCGTCAAGTCAGGACAAACAGAGAAGACTAGGACTCAGAAACAGAAGGAGGCTAAGGAAACTCACCAAATGCAATGTGTGTTGTTAGGTTGGGTCTTGGACCAGAAGAAGGACAGTAACAGAAAAATTTGTGAAATTTGAATAAGGCCTGCTTTAATATTGTTGCATCAGTGTTAACTTTTGGTCTTTGATAATTGAGCTATGGTTATATACAACATTAGAGGAAGCAATGTGAGGGACATATGGAAGATTTCTGTAGTATTTTTGGGGACTTTTATGTAAATCTAAAATTAGTTCAAAATTTAAATTGAGATAATAATATCTATATTACAAGGGAAGTGGTAAAATAGCTAGAACTCTGAGGACTTTTTTTTTGGTACTGGGGAT